CAATTTGACCACAGATTCTAAGCAAAAACAAAAGTTTGACAATAAGCGCAGAGTATATATATTATGTCTGTGTGTGTGTGTGTGTGTGTGTGTGTGTGTGTGTATGTGTGTGTGTGTGTGTGTGTCAAATACATGGCAGCGTGCATAATACCTTTTTATTGATTTAAAGTACTTTTTATGCACAATAAAAAAAAATTGCATTCTAGCACTCCTCTGTATTCTCTATAAGTGTAAGAAATTTTATACTCCTCCGTCCGCGCAATTTTCGCAAAAAGCGGTGCAAATTTTGCATGTTTCACGTATTAATATATAGATTATATATTTTCATACTATACTATATTTTCAGATTATATTACAGTAATAGTTTAACACAATCGGATCGTGAGCCGGTCTATACCTTTGTGCGAAAATAAGCAAGGCTTTACCACGAATCCTGTATTATATTTAAGTAATTAAATAAAACGACCAATTGTATGTATGCCAACGAATAATTTCAATCGATTTTATATCATCGATTCGATAGTAATTGCTTCTTAGAAGCCTCTCGATTCAATGAGACATGATTTTACTGAGAGCAACTTTGACCATCTGTTAAACTGTATACCACCGCCACAGTGTAAATATAAGGCAGCACTGCTACTGTTGTAAAAAACTGCGAATAGTCTTGTCATCACAGTAGCGTAATTTTAGTTTCGATATTTTTTGTTTTTAAATAGCAATATATTTTTTTTGTGATTGTGCAGAAATTTGCGCTCGACTTCTTAAAGGAGTATGATTGATTGTGGATTGATATTGATAGTGTGTGTGTGTGTAGCCATAGTTACGAAAGATTGATTATGAATAAAAGCAAGTAGTGATAATGGTTTTTAGTTTCAAGTTATTTTACTTGTTAAAAGAAAAGATACGATAACGTCCGTATTCGAAATCAAGTTCTGTTTTTATGATTGAAGGATTGCTGGTGGCCCGGAGGCCTTTCCAGTTTCACCAGGATTAGTGGGCGAGCAAAGGCTAGCCAGGAAGGGCGGGATTAGCTAACAGCGGTCCGAACGCCTCTGAAAGAGACCTAACAACTTAAGAGCAGCTGCTTCGCGACTGAATCTACCTACTACCGGATCGGAATTGCGACCCGCTGAGAAGATCTTTTTTTTTTTTATTGCTTAGATGTGTAACCACCCACCTTGAGATATAAGTTATAAGGTCTTTGTATAGTTACAACGACTGCCCCACGCACAAGCAGAAACGCATTATTGCTTCACGGCAGAAATAGGCGGGGTGGTGGTACCTACCTGTGCGGACTCACATGAGGTCCTACCACCGGTAAAGATTGATGAGGTCCTACCACCTGGAAAGATGTTCACGATTAACTTCCACGGTGAAAAAATAACATCGTGTAGTAAAAATCAAACCTGCAAAATTATAATTTGCGTAATTACTGGTAGTAGGACGTCTTGGGAGTCCGCACGGGTAGGTACCACCACACTGCCTATTTTTTTTTATTTATTCTCACGTCCTATAACAAAAAAAAACATTTCATTTATCTATTCAGAAATCTTTAGCGAAATGTACCTACTGCGCCTTATTTGCACTATGTTTGCAAACTGACCAAAGAATTTTCTCTGGGCTTGTTTTTACACCTGTCACGGAGACCAGTTGCAGCGGATGTTGTCGAACGTTAACCCGAACGAGAGAGACGGACGTATAAGCGTGCCGGCGGACAAGGACACGAATACCTTTCAAACGTACCCAACCCACGAGAATGACAGAGAGAAGCAAAGTCGCGTGGCGCGAGAAAGAGACGCCGAATAACTTGAGTTCTGATCCTGTTATAATAACTCCGAGGGTTGCTATGGGAGTGTATTGTTATTGTTTTGTAAGTTTTGAAGCGAAATTTCACGAAAATCTTTACATTATTAAAGGCTTGCTCGGAATTAGCTTGTCGAGCAAATTGCGCCCCTTCTAGCTGAGCCCTTGCTCGCCCACCAGTCCTTGTTATACTGGAAATGACTCTGAGCCACCAGTAAGCCATCATAAAAAAAAGATATCACACCATGAACACTGCTACCTCGAACACCTTTTACTGGTGGTAGGACCTCTTGTGAGTCCGCGCGGGTGGGTATCACCACCCTGCCTATTTCTGCCGTGAAGCAGTAATGCGTTTCGGTTTGAAGGGTGGGGCAGCCGTTGTAACTATACTTGAGACCTTAGAACTTGTATCTCAAGTTGGGTGGCGCATTTACGTTGTGGATGTCTATGGGCTCCAGTAACCACTTAACACCAGGTGGGCTGTGAGCTCGTCCACCCATCTAAGCAATAAATAAGTAAACTTGAACTTTGGTTTTATTGCATGCGTAGCAATGTCGACTATTTGCAATAATAGAAAAAATAAAGAAACGCGAATTATCTACCTGTTTTCAGATACGATAACGGCACTAGAGCTTTTGAGAGGCGCTTTTATATCAAGCGTATTGGAAGTCAAATTCTGTAAAGTTCTGCTGTAGCTTTTTTTGTTTATTATCCTTGTAGGCAGACGAGCATACGGCCCACCTGATGGTGTGTGGTTACCGTCGCCCATGGACCTCAGCAATGCTAGGGGCAGAGCCAAGCCGCTGTCTACCGGCTTCCGTTCGCCGATTCACGTTCGCTTGTCCAAAATAAAAGCACGTTCGAAACGACTTAACGACAATACGTTTTGTGAATCACACGTGGTTCGTCTACGACTCTACGTGAATGATGTGAGTAGTCTGTAGCGACAATTAAAATTCAGATTAAATGTTGACTCATGTGTATACTGATTAAATGTAATGTCTCTTTGAGCTTAATGATGCGCATATGATGACCATTTTAACAGCTTGGTTTTATTTTTATTGCATAGTTGGGTGGACGAGCTCACAGCCCACCTGGTGTTAAGTGGTTACTAGAGCCCATAGACATCTACAACATAAATGCGGTGGCGGGTGGCGCATTTACGTTGTAGATGTCTATGGGCTCCAGTAACCATTTAACACCAGGTGGGCTGTGAGCTCGGTCACCCATCTAAGCAATAAATAAAAAGTTTAATATTTGGAAATATTGTAACAAAAAAACTTCTTCAGCTATTTAAATGGGGTAAACTTAATTGAAGTTCAATTCAAAACATCGAGCTGTTGTCACTAATACCGAATAAAACGGACCATTAATTACAAAGATAAATGTCGCGTATTTAGCGTAATAAGATGAAGTTGATTAATTTAAAACCTCAATCAGTTGGGATGTAACTAAGTGAAACGGGATGAGAATGGATGAAATACAGTCTCAGTAAAATGGTGGTTGTACATTGATACTTTCTAATCCGTTAACGGTGCTTTTAGGCACCACAAACACCGGTCACCGTCCTCGTCGAACCCGTCGCTTGCGACGAAGGGCTCGACGAGCGAACTAACCCATAGACACAGCCCATTGAGTTTCTCGCCGGATTTTCTCAGTGGGTCGCGTTTCCGATCCGGTGGTAGATTCTGCGAAGCACTGCTCTTGCTAGGGTCAGTGTTAGCAACTCTCCGGTTTGAGCCCCGTGAGCTTACCTACAAACGTTAGGGTGAAGCTGAAATAGCCTGTCAAGGCTATCAGCATAGGTAGGGATAAAAAAAAACATACTTTTTAAAGCACATTTTGCAAGAATCCTTGAAGCTGAAAATGAATTCGCACATTAGTGTGCTTTTACAGATGCTAAGCAATTAATAAACCACTGCTATTGCCCATTCAAATCTGAAGGAACACTAAATCAACAAAATAAAATAATTCACATAAATTCGCTCCTAGCGTTCCCGCCAAAAAGTCACCTAACAACGATGAAGTTGTCACGCGTTTAGCACAATTAATATCAACTAGTGGTCGTCAATAATTATTCGACCATAATTATTAATATAAGTTATAAGTTTGAACATTAATATGGTTCTATTGTCAAAGACTTTATTTCTATACTTTATTTCTTCCTTTATAGGTAGCCTTGGCAAAATCTGTTAATCTATACTAATATTATAAAGAGGAAAGATTTGTTTGTTTGTTTGTATTATTGAATAGGCTCCGAAACTACTGAACCGATTTGAAAAATTCTTTCACTGTTTGAAAGCTACATTATTCCCGAGTGACATAGGCTAAAATATTTTTTGAAAAAAATTAGGGATCCTTACTAAAACTCAAATAATGTAACTTAAGGCGTAAAAAAATTACGGAGCGGAGCCGGAGCGGGCCGCTATCTAGAAATAAAGTCTTTGACAATAGAGGATAGGTTTATACCTAGGTTTATACCTATCCTCAATTTGACCACAGACTTTAACAATAAACAAAAGAGTATTTAAGCGTGTGCGTGTTAAATACATGGTAGCGCGCATAATGCTTTTTTATTGATTTAAAGTACTTTTTATGCACAATTAAAAAAAATTGGCATTCTACACTCCTTCTCTGTATTCTCTAAAAGTGTAGAAAATTTCATACTCCTCCCTCTGCGCAATTTTCGTAAAAAGGGGTACAAAGTTTTTGCTTCACGTATTCATTCAAAGCAGGGGTTCGCAAAGTTATTTTGTCTACTGCCCACTTTGAGAATAAATTATTTTTTAGCGCCCCCATTTTTATCACCAACTTAAAAACCACTATAGCGAAAGCTCAGTCGGTGTCTAAGAGTCGTCCTAGATGAAATTACAGGCGCGGACAGGACGCGATCGTACCAAGCCTCTACACAAGGCCTTAATTTTTTTCTGGTTCTCTTACCGCCCACCTTTAGGCCTTCGGCCCCCTTGGATTCTTTACTCAAAAAAAAAAAAAAGAATTCGATTGTGTCAAAAAAATACGAATTCAAAAATTTTGATTTTCGAATCTGTAGAACGAACATCGGCAATCGACTTCACCTCGATGTGCATTCGAAATTCAAGTTCTTCAAAATATGTCACGGCGTTGTCGCGGCTCTGTGATCTGTGACCGATACATTGTGCTACGTCAGTTTCATATCAACAAGGCGGCCCGTCGCACGTTAGATACGTCACCCGCCATTTACGCGTAGCACAATAAAAACTCCGTATCCATTCTCTATGTATCGCGAGTTGACTGTTCTTTTTTGGTGTTACGTTTAATTCAAATATGGAATTACTTTAGACTTGAGTGGTGATTGTGATCATAATTTCTGGATTTTGTTACCGTTGTTTTGTTTGGGCGCGAGGTATGTTTTAGAAAGTTTTGTTTTTGAATTTAGAATTGTTTTATTGTTTTTTTTATTTTTAGTTGATTGTTTTAAAACACACTATTCCCCTTTAACACTAATACTTGTAGATTAGGAAGTTTAATCAACTTTTTGATTAATTTAGACCTTTCGGAAATGAAAAAATCAGTAGATTTTTGACAATTTTTTTTTGTCGTAACAAATTTTCTTTTCAAAGTTTGCTTCGTGAAAAGTCACAATAGATGTCGCTGCTCATACTAAGCAAGTTTAATAAAAAAGTACTAATATTTATAAGGTATACAGTTATAAACATGAATAGTTATTTTTATTTAATGTAAACAAATACGTCAAGGAATAACTTTTATTCAAACCCTAATTGACCTCAATCTAATATTTAAAGTGATAAAATATAAGTCTACTGATGCTAAATCTTTATTTCAAATCTTGAATATATTTTTTATGAAGCTATATTGCTGGTTAAATATTGTCATGGCAATAATCAGTATTACACAAGAATTATTACTGCCTAATCCCAATTCTTGAGTCGTGAACATACGTGTAACAGTAAACAAACTAAAACAAATCAAACATACGAAATTTTTAATAAAAAAGACATTAAGATAGTAGTTGGTCCAGAAAAAAACAACATCAAGGTCTCTGATCATGGGAAAAAACCATTTTTATACTGCAAGCAAGTCATACGAGTACAAACGAATTTAGAGCTTACCGCCCAAGTCTTAAAAACTTACGTGTAATTTCGGTGGATGCATAAAGAAATGTTTAAATTATGCATCTAAGTTACTGCTGTGAAATAAATTATGTAGCAATCTTGAACCTTAACGCGCTAAATATAAGATTTACATTTTTTATTAATGCTGTTGTGTTAATGTGTTCTTTTTTCGAAACTGGTTGTTCTACGAAACCTTATTAAGGGCAGGTGTTCAATGGAGCGTTGATTTTATGTTTTTTTTTTTTCTTTACTGAGACCATAGCATTTTTTACAGTATCTTTGAGATGATGAGTAAAGGGAAGTTGGTGATTATTATTTTTATTGCTATAGTGGGGCAGGCGACGTATGGCGCACCTGATGTTAAGTGGTTACCGGAGCTCATACTTGGGAACGGCGCCACCTGTCTCAAGACATGAGACATGCCCCGACTGTGCTGTGACAACTGTCAAAAATTTCAATTTTTTTTTTTTTTTTATTGTTTAGGTGTGTGAACGAGCTCACAGCCCACCTGGTGTTAAGTGGTTACTGGAGCCCATAGACATCTACAAAGTAAATGCGCCCCCCACCTTGAGATATAAGTTCTAAGATCTCAGTATAGTTACAACGGCAGCTCCACCCTTCAAACCGAAACGCGTTACTGCTTTACGGCAGCAATAGACGGGGCGGTGGTACCTACCCGTGCGGACTCACAAGAGGTCCTACCACCAGTAACTTCAAGAAGTTGTAACTACAAGCCTCAAGAAGTTGTAAATTCTCTAGAAAAATAATAATGATAGAAAAATAACCAAAACGGATTATGTATGTAGGACATATTAATTTGATAGTTTATGGTATGATAAGTTTAAGCTAAAAGTTAAAAAAATTATTAAATAATTCGATTATATCCATTTCTTGGCATAGCTAGCTAAACGTTGCATCTTTATCATTCTAATTGAAAGACTCAACTGTTCGGTAGTGATGTCCATTTGAGACACCCACTTTGAGACACGGCCGAAATTTTCATAACGGCTGCCCCGCTCTTTAGATAGGAACACATAATCGCATCGTTACCAATAGATTTAATTTTGACGAAACTGTTCCTGTGTAATCACACCTTATTTGTTTTTTTTGCAAAATTCGTCACTTTTTGAAGTGAAACTTCTTTATCGGCGTTGGAAAAAAATTTACCGTCACATTTATCGGTTACGCGTCACATTTTTCCGTTACGCGCCATCTTTTTTGTATTCATGTCTATGATAATAAAATCCTTTTGCTTAAACTTTATCTAATTTAACTTTATTTAACCAATTTCTAGAAAGTTGCATGTAGATCATTTTTCGAAAAATAAGTTTCACTTCTTACGTGTGTACACTAGTACACGCACACATTTTTTTTTGTAAAATGATATTATCGTCATTAAGTAGTTGATATCTGGTAAGAAAATTGTTTTTAAAACATGATCGATGTTGTAGTTCGTCTGATGCACTTCCTGATAATCCTTTGCCTAGATTTCAATATTAGTAAACATTGTAGATGTTTTTGAAGTGAAACTTCTTTATCGGCGTTGGAAAAAAATTTACCGTCACATTTTTCGGTTACGCGTCACATTTTTCCGTTACGCGCCATCTTTTTTGTATTCATGTCTATGATAATAAAATCCTTTTGTTTAAACTTTATCTAATTTAACTTTTTTGTATTCATGTCTATGATAATAAAATCCTTTTGTTTAAACTTTATCTAATTTAACTTTATTTAACCAATTTCTAGAAAGTTGCATGTAGATCATTTTTCGAAAAATAAGGCCATAAAGAAGTTTCACTTCTTACGTGTGTACACTAGTACACGCACACATTTTTTTTAATTGAAACTTCCTTATCGGCGTTGGAAAAAAATTTACCGTCACATTTTTCGGTTACGCGTCACATTTTTCCGTTACGCGCCATCTTTTTTGTATTCATGTCTATGATAATAAAATCCTTTTGTTTAAACTTTATCTAATTTAACTTTTTTGTATTCATGTCTATGATAATAAAATCCTTTTGTTTAAACTTTATCTAATTTAACTTTATTTAACCAATTTCTAGAAAGTTGCATGTAGATCATTTTTCGAAAAATAAGGCCATAAACAAGTTTCACTTCTTACGTGTGTACACTAGTACACGCACACATTTTTTTTTAAATGGTAATTATTATACGTCATTCGCTGATTTTTTGGCGGGAATGCGGGAAGCGAAGTTGTTTGTATTGTTTTGATTTGTTCATTTAGTGTTTCCACAGATAGTGTCTCAAATTTGTATTAACGCTGGTTTATTAATTGTTTAGTTCACGTATGTGGAAAAATGAAACGAAACTTCCATATGTGGATTGTTGTTTTCTTCAAAAAAGTCCACGGAAATTCAGAGCTGTCATTTTATTGAGCCGTTATTTCACTCTGTTTCATATCGAAATATTTAATTTCATCATAAATAAATTAAATCCGTCCGATTTCGCTCCATATTCCATTTCACATACCATTGTTTAAATGTTTGAGCCGTACGGTGTGATACCTTTGCAATACTTTTTTTGGAAAAAAATAACTGTTGCTTCCGTCTCATTTAACCTTTTAGCAGTTTTGCGCATTTGTTCGCTTTACAATAACGGCTTCTATTATAGTCTCACAAACGTTTATTTTATTGCTTATATGGGTGGACGAGCTCACAGCCCACTCGGTATTAAGTGGTTACTGGAGCCCATAAACATCTACAACGTAAATACACCACCCACCTTGAGATATAAGTTCTGAGGTCTCAGTATAGTTACAACGGCTGCCTCAGCCGTCAAACCGAAACGCATTACTGCTTTACGGCAGAAATAGGCAGGGCGGTGGTACCTATCCGCGCGGACTTAAGAGGTCCTACCACCAGTAAAACGTTCAAGGAATGGCGCGTAGGTAGTTTCAACGGATGCGTGAATGGAAAGCCTGGTTTAGTTTCACTAATACTAACTAAGTGTATATCCAGAAATAGAAGGGTATTTGGTTTAATTAAAAGTCCGCTTTATTTGGTACTTGCGACCCGCCCTCGCTTCGCTTCGGAAACTGTAATTTATTATTGATATCTCCACTATTTAATGGATGTTATTATACATATAAACCTTCCTCTTCAATCACTCTATCTATTAAAAAAAACTGCATCAAAATCCGTTGCGTAGTTTTAGAGATTTAAGCATACATAGGGACAGACAGATATAGGGACAGAGAAAGCGACTTTGTTTTATACTATGTAGTGAGTAGTAACAACAGTTCGATGTTTTTAATTGAGCTTCAATTAAGTTTGCCCCAGTCAAATGAACCTGAAGTTTTTTTTTGTATTTTTTTTTCAAATTTTTATCTTTAAATGGTTTTTCTGTTGTTGCCAAAATGCCTTTCACCCCTCGATATGGCAAAACAGCATGGGTTAATAAATAAATAAATATTTACTAACAATCACGCCACGTTAACTGGTCCCGTGATAAGTTCGTAAAGAACTTGTGTTACAGGTACCAGATAACGGATATAAATGTAAGATTTTTATTATACACATACATATATTTAATATACATCCATAACCCTGGAAAAGACATTTATATTTATCATACAAATATCTTCCCTTGGCGGGATTCGANAAGAACTTGTGTTACAGGTACCAGATAACGGATATAAATGTAAGATTTTTATTATACACATACATATATTTAATATACATCCATAACCCTGGAAAAGACATTTATATTTATCATACAAATATCTTCCCTTGGCGGGATTCGAACCCGCGACCCCCTTGTGTAGTGACCATGTCACTTACCACTACACCAGACGGCCGTTGATTTTTAACCGAGCGGGTGTTTTTGATGCCCAACCGATTCGTCTCCTAAAAGTCGGGTTCCTTCTAATCTGTCATAGCTACATTTATGAGACATTCTCAACAACTATTTAGGTATCTCGGTCAACAGCGGTAATTAACTTGACCAACTTTCATTGTCATGATCGTTTCCTGTGCCCCGCTAACGATTGTAAATATTGAGCGTCCGTCGTCTGATAGGTAACAGCATCCTTTTGTTCATAATTTCTCATATACCATTCGCGGTATAACTGGTTTTTACTCGTGGTAGGACCTCTTGTGTGTCCGCGCGGGTAGGTACCACCACCCTGACTATTTCTGCCGTGAAGCAGTAATGCGTTTCGGTTTGAAGGGTGGGGCAGTCGTTGTAACTATACCTGAGACCTTAGAACTTATATCTCAAGGTGGGTGGCGCATTTACGTTGTAGATGTAT